TTGATAGGGAGTGCGGTAGGCTGCTATGGGAAGAAATTCATAAGACATCTAGATATGAAAATGTTTTGTTAATGGGAGATTTTAACTTTAGAAAAACTGATTGGAACAATGTGACAGGAAATCTTGAGTCTAGTGACTCTCTTGATACGGTTCAGGATTGCTTTTTAAAACAGTTTGTGACAGAACCAACTAGAGAAAACAATCTGCCTGACTTGGTTCTTGCCAAAAAAGAATCACTAGTTAATAATCTTGAGGTTAGTGATGAGGTAGGGGAAAATGATCACAAATCACTTAATTTCAATATATCATGGAATTACCCAGATAATTGCAATCAAGTCGCTGTCCCAGATTTTTCGCTTGGCCGACTTTATGGGTATGAGAAATTACCTGGGTGGGCTAAATTGGGACGACCTTATTGTGTGTCAGGTAGGTAGCGTTGGTTGCCAATATGACGTATTTCAGAGCATAGTGCTGGCTGCCCAGACGACTTTTGTCCCGAGTAGGGAAATTAGATCCAACAAAAATGATCCCAAATGGATAAACAATAGATTAAAACATCTCACTGGTCAAAAGAGAGTTATATATAGGCGTATCAAAAGAGGGGAAGTGCAGTTAAGAAATCAATATATTTAATTAAAGAGAGATATAAAAAAAAGGAATAAGAAAAGCAAAAAGGGATTATGAGGCTAAAGTCGCAACGGATTCAAAGACTAACCCAAAAGGGTTATTTCAGGTATACAGAAGTAAGATTAGTGACAAGACAGGCCCACTTAAGAGTAACTCAGGTCAGATCACTGACAGGGATAAGGAAATGTGTGAACTTTTCAATACCTACTTCCTCTCAGTTTTTACTCAGGAAGATACTAGCGAAATTCCAGAAATAATAAATTATGTAGAACAGGACGATAATAAACTATGCACGATTAGGCAAACTTGTGACATGGTCCTCAGACAAATAGAGGAATTAAAACCTAACAAATCCCCAGGATCTGATGAACTGCTTGCAAAGGTGTTAAAGGAATGTAAAGAGCAACTTAGCATACCTTTGCCTAATCTTTTCAATATATCACTACAAACTGGCATAGTGCCAGACAAGTGAAAAATGGCAAATGTAATACCTATTATAAGGCAGGTGACAGGACCTTAGCTTCGAACTATAGACCAGTAAGCCTTACCTTTATAGAATCAATAATTGCCGAAGCAATTCGTAGCCATCTTGAAAGGCATGAATTGATTAATGACTCTCAGCACGGTTTTACAAAGGAACGTTCCTGTATTACGAATTTACTTTCTTTACTAAGGTATTTGAGGAGGCAGATCATGGCAATGAATATGATATTGTGTATATGGACTTCAGTAAGGCTTTTGATAGAGTTTCACATCAGAAACTATTGAGGAAACTTAAGGCACATTGAATAGGAGAATTTTTTTCCTGGGTAGAGGCATGGTTGACAAATGGGTAGCAGAGAGTTTGCATAAATGGGGAGAAATAAGAGTGGAGGCAATTCACAAGCGGTGTTCGAAAGGGCTCAGTGTTGGGCCCTTTGTTGTTCACAATCTACATAAACTACATAGACGAGGGAATAAATAGTGACATAAGCAAATTTGCTGACGACACTAAAATAGGCCGTCCAATTCATTCTAATGAGGATATTAGAGCACTCCAGGATGATTTGAATAGATTGATGCAGTGGTCGGAGAAGTGGCAGATGCAGTTTAATATAGACAAATGCAAAGTTCTAAATGTTGGACAGGTAAATAACCATGCCACATATAAACTAAATAATGTAGATCTTAATATTACGGATTGCGAAAAGGATTTCGGAGTTCTGGTTACTAGTAATCTGAAACCATGACAACAATGCATTAGTGTTCGCAATAAAGCTAACAGAATCCTTGGCTTCATATCAAGAAGTATAAATAATAGAAGTCCTCAGGTTGTTCTTCAACTCTGTGTATCTTTGGTTATGCCTCATTTAGATTATGCTGCACAGTTCTGTTCACCGTATTACAGAATGGATATAAATGCTCTGGAAAACGTACAGAGGAGAATGACAAAGTTGATCCCATGCATCAGAAATCTTCCCTATGAGGATAGACTGAGGGCCCTGAATCTGCACTCTCTAGAAAGGCGTAGAATTTAGGGGGGATATGATTGAGGTGTATAAATGGAAAACAGGAATAAATAAAGGGGATGCAAATAGCTTGATAAAAATATCTAACATAGACAGGACTCGCAGCAATGGCTTTAAACTGGAAAAATTCAGATTCAAGAAGGATATAGGAAAGCACCGGTTTGGTAATATGAGTACCGTCATAGAAGCTAAGACTTTGTGTAGTTTTAAAAATAGGTTGGATAAATACATGAGTGGGTGTGGGTGGGTGTGAGTTGGACCTAACTAGCTTGTGCTACTAGGTCGGATGCTTTAAGTGATGTGTCTGACTTTACTAGGTCAGTGAGGTCAGACTGTCAGTGAGCTTAAGCCGGTAGGAGAATTGGACCTGCCTCACAGTAGGCCTGTTGCAGTGTTCCTTCTTTCTTACGTTATGTTCTTAAGTAGACGAGAATACTGCCATGAAACCCGTCGGTTATAAAACCAGGAAGAACTAGATATATTTCGATTAGAAAAAGCATTTTTCAGTAATTGATCTGATTTAAATAATTCCATTTTTTCTACTGTTAAAGAACATCGACAAATTTGCCTGTACATAAACAAAACTAATAGATATTATCATGGCCTTAAGATGTATCAGTTATTAATTATATATAATTACTGAAGCTGTTCAGAAAAGGTAAACTAAAATTTATTTAACGTGGTTTAACGAAAAAAAAAAACACATTTTTATACACAAAATTATCAAATCTACACCAGCATACTTGAATTTTCCTCTCTTACGTCTTCGAATTAGGAGGCCCTTTTTTTGAAATCTTAATGCATCGTCATTCCCGGATGCTGGGTATGGAATCCATAATTCTGACAATAGGGCACATGAACATACTCATTGTTCCAAGAATCTGAAGCTGATTGGATGTGATGCTCTCGAGTTATGAGAGAAATAAAATAAAGTTGAAGACGAAAATAATAGAATAATTCAGGCAACCTCTTAAAGGTTTCCCTTCAGTGATATCTAATACTTTTCTAACATTCAACAACCTATATACCTTAAAATACAAGACAAGGACAAGCTTGACTGTCTACCTCTCAGTCGCTGCCATAAACTAGGTTCGTGCCGGAGTCATCAGAAATCGAGTCCACAAAGGAGCCACGATAGATGGTTTACCAAAGAAAAGAATCTTCCCTGCCGTTAATACCCCCACTCGACACTAACACGACGAGTAGTGTCAATGTCCCCTGTGACCATCCTTTACCCTGTATATCCTTTACACTGTGCACCAGTATATTTACCAAAAAATAAGACAGCAAGGCTTGGCAAAACTGTATTTAGGCTGGGAGTGCTAGAGGCGCTAACAGCATTTGGCTAGAATTGGGCGAGGGCCAGATGACAAGAACACAGAGTTGTACACCTTCAGTTACCACTTCGTGTAGGTGGCGCCAAGAGCCTGGTCGAACAGGGGATAGTGACCACTGAAATCGACTCTATACAGACTCCTTGACCTGCAGGTGATCTCTAGTGATATCTAAGCCGTCAGACAGCCACTCGAAGTCAGACCAGGTGGTCCTGCAGAAAGTCCACCTGACAGTCCGCTTCCCTTCAGGTGCTGCAGATCTTAGCACTGCAATTGGAAGAACAACAGATAACCTCTTCCAAAATCCCCCGGGTACTGGGTTATCTGGCTAAGCCGCTCAAACATCGCCACAGTATTAATATGACACAATATGTTTGCTCCTGGGTGTGTTGATCAAAGGATCACCTAGAAGTAAGCTTAAAGTACGTTTCACTTTCTTGTTCTTCGTTTTAAAAGCGTTTAATTAATGACTTCATAAATCTACATACATGTACTACACGCAGTCCATTACCATTTTCTTTAATATTTTTTAATGTTAGTTTTATTCCGACGAGTAGTTAAGGACCCAGTGGAAATACTTTACTTTGACTTTTTTTGGGTTATCCAAGGTTCTCTACACATATGCTGCTATGTATGATAATATATGTAACTTTATTTGTGTATACCTGAATCAACTTAATTACTTACTTAGGCCACATGCCCTGCGAGATATTCATAACCAACTAGCAAAGTTGATCAGATATATTTCTCACATCGTAACATATGTAGTCAGGAATTCCTGGAAGAAAAATGTTGCACCATAATTGAAAGTTTTTCTGAAATAAAATTCTCTACTTTATTACAGACTGCAGACGCAGAGCCCAAACTAATAATGAAAACACTACAGAAAACAACAGAACAGATGTATTTATTATTGCATCCAAAGAAAGATCAGCCACCATTGCAACAACATTTTAGAAGTTATACTAATGTCGCAGTCCTGACATCCAAAACCATTTATGATCTAGTCAGACCTCATGTTCCTAGGAAACCAGACATCAACGCGGGTGTCTACACATCCTCTGGAAAGGATGTAAAAAAAGGAGCTATGCAGAGAAAATGGTACTTGACATTAACATCAGGATTCTTGAACACAAGTACACTTGCAGAACCCACAACCCTAACAATGTACTCATACTATAAACTGGGAAAACACTGGCCTCTTATGGCTTGCAATGACAATTGGTCACCAAAGAAAATATAGAACGAGGGGGTGTCTGGAAGCAGTTGTCCAAACACATAGAAAAAAAAGCTGGCATTTTCAGCATCGCTAACCTCCCGATACAACTCATCCTACGTAGACAGGTATCTGCAAGTAGTCAAGTGAGGTTCTCACTCAAAAATCTGACTTTCCAACTTTGAGCCTCATTTCAAGGAGCATTTATTGGCGGTCTGTTTTTAACTTGACAACTTTTACGGTCTGAGCGAAACTGTTCAGATAAAAGGAGTCATTGCTATAAATGTAAATTTGAACTACATACATGTCAGTTCTTTCCTCGCTTTCAAAAGAGGGAGAATGTTACTCACCTGTACCAACAGATGCCAGCACCAACGATGCCGCACACAGCCACGGCCGTGCACCCAGCCACCAGAGCTGCGGAAGATAAACATATGAATGCACAGTAAAGAATTCAAAAGGTCATAGGACACAAAGTATCAAGTTAGCACTACTACGAATGATCGGTTAGGTTATGCTTTCAAACTTTACGAGCTTTTAAGAGTTTATATCACGGTGGAAAATTAAACACAAATACAGTATAATGCGATCCTTTAATTAACTACATTTCGCCCACACAAGGAACTTGATCAAGTCACAGACAGATCTACCTGGGTAAAGAGCACATGAGTATATATATACTCGTGTGCTCTTTAATTTTTCAATCGTCTTCAATTTTTCCATCGTGTCGGTATTTTATACCTTTTATCTTCAAGAATTCATCACCTGAGAAAAAATACAAAAGGAACCACCTAAAATTAGTCGTCTAAGTTGCTCCTGACTGAATCTTTGACTTTCTGTGTGGCCTGACGATAAATGGGATAACTAAAAAAACTTGCCAAACTAACCAAATTTACTTTTCCTAATTGTGCTTACAGTGCTTCATATAATAGTAATAAGTAATTTATTTCCAAAACATATAAAAGTATTAAGAAAAACTGAAAAGCAAATAGGATGCTCAGCACATCATACGTGATTAATTTAATTCTCAAGAAACAGGTGTTCTTGAGAATATATAGAATCAATATGACGGTATCTGTAAAGGCTTGAAGATATTTAAATAAACTGGGTAAAGAACCAACTTTTGAGATAATTGTTGTAATATATACGACAGAAAAGTGCCAGAAACGACAACAGTTTTCTTGTGCTCATAAGTTAATGGGCAAATAAGTGTCCAGTTGGGAGTATATACTTGGTCATTTATCTGCGCCTAAAAGTTCCAAGGATCTAATGTCATACTTGCAAGAAATGTTTCTACAGCTGCCATATCTACCTACACAACACATCGTCCTTAGCTTATGTGATCTCTTCCTCTCACACACTAGATTATTATTACTGAAAGAATTAAGAGTAAGGAAGGGTAGGAGAATGGTAGACCAAGTGTTTACAATGAAACATTTAGGTGAACAATATTTAGATAAGGATAAAAAGGCTTTCGATACATTTATGCATTCGGAAAAGGCATATGACAGGGTGAACAAGGAAGCAATGTGGCAGATGTTGCAAATGTATGGAATAAGTGGTATGTTATTGAAAGCAGTTAAGAGTTTTTACGAGGATAGTGAAGCTCAGGTTAGAGCACGTAAGAGAGAGGGTTATCATTTCCCAGTAATAGTAGGCCTTAGACAGGTATGCGTGATGTCACTATGGTTGGTCAATATACTTAGAGATGGGGGTTGTAAAAAAAATGAATGCTCGGGTGTTGGCAATAGGTGTGGGATTAAGAGATGGAGAGAATTTAACACAAAGTGGGAGTTGTCACAGTTGCTTTTAGATAACAATGTGCTCTTGGGAGATTCGAAGAGAAGTTGCAGAGGTTGTTTGGAAGGGCATGTAAAAGAAGGAAATAAAGGTGAACATAGGAAAGAGCATGGTGATGAGGATAACCAAAAAATTTAGGTAGTGAAAGATTGGATATCAAATTGGAGGGAGGAAGTATGGAGGAAGTGAATGTATTCTGGTATTTGGGAGTAGACTTTTCAACAGATAGGGTCTATGAAAGATGAGGTGAATTACAGAATTGATGAGGAGGAAAAAGGTGAGTGGAGCACTAAAACGTCTGTGGAGACAACGAACGTTATCCGAGGAAGCAAGGAGGAAAGGTTCTTATAAAGGGTGTGAAGCATGGGTGGTGAATGTTGCAACAAGAGGAAGGCTGGAGGCAGTGGAGATATCCTAAGGTCAATGTGTGGTGTGAATATTATGCAGAGAATCCGTAAACTGGAGATTAGAAGGAGGTACGAGGTTTTTAAAAGTATTATCCAGAGGGCTGAGGAGGAGTATTATCCAAAGGACATATAAATCTGTAGTGGAAGGAAGGCGGGTATGGGTCATCCTAGGCAAGGTTGGAGGGAAAGGGAAAGGGTGCAGGGGTATTGGGTAGCAAGAGGGAGAGGAATTATTATTATTAGGTTATGCAGGGGATAGTGCAGGGGTAGAGGATAGCAAGAGGGAGAGGTAGAAAGGGCTGTGAGGAGTATTAGAGGCATCATCATCAAAGTTTGTGCAGTAAATAAGTTGCTGTCAAAAAGTCAACGAGAGAGTCTGGGTTAAAGGAGGGTCCATCACAGTGGGCTTTATCAAGTCACAAACAGATCTGTGACTTAATAAAGCCCACTGCATGGGCGAAACGTTGTCAATAAAGGATCACATTATACTGCTTAAGTGTTTATATTTCCAGATGGAGAAGAGAGAAGAGGATCGACAGGATGTGGATCGGTGTCCATCAATGGTTTAGTCTCCACAATGTAGTCGGAGATAGCTTCAGTTGTTTCAGAGGACAAGGACTTTGTATGTGGGATGATACTGGAGATAGAAGGATGAGGGTGAATAAAGATCGGGGCGAAAACGGAATTTACCAACGTGGAGAGGGCGAGAGGTTAGAAGTAACTTCAGAAGCTTACGAGGGAACAGAAAATGAAAGTACTGTACGAGGGGGAGGATGGACCTCCACACTCGCAACAGAACGAGTATGGGGTAAAGATCCAGGTACCGAGACTGGAAATGAAAGAAATTTACACTTCGGGATTTGTTGGACTTTGAAGAAGTAGAAAGGCGATGGGGAGGAGCTGTTGTGCGAGGTCTTGTAGACATAGAAGCTTGCGTGTGACATGAAGATTGGAGAACAATAGAGGGTGATGAGGTAGGGACTTCGGAGTCCAGGATTGTAAAAGAGTTAGATACAAAGGTGACTGTGGAAGGTGTGATTGCAGGGTAGGCAGAGGGAAATGGGACCCCAGAGGTTGGAGGTCTCTTAGTAACTCGAAAATGAGAAATACAGGGAAGTCTCCCCTGGAGGCGTAGATGAGAGACTGCCATGGTGTAAGTAAAGCCTTCAGTCTCTTTGAGACAAAGGATTTCACGTTCGTTTAAGTAAACCTGGCAACGACGAGAATAAGATGGATGAGGTTCATGACAATTAAGGCAGGAGGGAGGTAGGCCACAAGATGTCTTGGTATGGTCATTGGCACCACAGACTGGGCATTCAGCCATGGATCTGCAATATTTTGCCGGAGGGCCAAACTGCCAGCAATTTCTACACTGTTGTGGTGTAGGGGTCACCTGTCGGACTTGTAAACAGTGTCCCGCAATATAAACTGAAGATGGAAGCTCACGGCATTCAAAAGTTAAGAGAGCTTCATTGCAGAAGTAGCGTCTCCGCCCGCGGACAGGCAGTACATACGTGTATACTTTAATGATCGGGGAGGACTTGGAGCTCAAGCTGTTCCAGAATGTCATCACCACATGTCTGGAAATAACGTTGAACAATGGTATGTGGTAGAATGATGGTACCACTGCAAAAATTGAGAGACTGATATTTTTCATCTGTCACAGGAATGGCATGGTTGGAAGGAGAGAAAGATCGTGAGCTTGGCTAGCATTCTGTACTGCGACGATGCATGCACCGCTCTTGACAGCTTGAAACGGAATATTACGACCAACATAGCGTAGGAGCGCCTTGCTGATACTATGATCAGAAAGATATTCAGAAGATGTCAGTCGTAGAGTGAAATCTTCGTCCATTGTGTACTATTCTGCGTAATATGTAAAGAAAGTGATTGTGTTGGCTTTTTTCTGAGGAGAATGAGAATCAGTCGAAATAATGTCATCAGAAGAAGGTCGTTGTCGTTGAGATACAGGACCAGAGGTGGTCCGTTTTGAGGTGGGAACGGGATCCAAAAACCATCGCACCATATGGGGAGAGGCCGGAAGCATAGTTAAAGACGTGCAGAGGTTGGAGGTGTCAAAGGAGTCACGCCGAGCGTCTGTATCTGGAGTGTGGAACAAAATGTCACCCGAAGAAGATACAGGGGCTGTAGAAAGGTCCGAGGAATGGTTCGGTAACAAGACAGGGTCATCAGAGGGTGCTGCTACAGGAAGGGGCCCAGGAGAAGGAAGTTCATGGACCTGCGAGTCCGTGGTTAGGTCATTCTTTTCTTTTGTTTTTAAGATAAAATAAAGAAAAGAAAAAAAAAGAAAAAGAGGGGGGAGCATGGAGGGGTAGCTCCTAGGGTGAAAGGATTACAAATCTCCCATTCCGTGCCCAAGAGGACAACCTCAGTACAGCCTGTAGTGGAGATGTGGCATGGAACTCGTGCCATACCCTACCCTTCAAGCCAGTAAACCAGCAATCTGGGATAGCAATCTCACATCTACCAAGCCACCCCGGTGGACAAAAGGGAGGGCAGTCGGAAACCCACCACTGGATGCGACCGGCAAATCGTCAGTTGACAGCCAGGTAACTGTGTACTGCTAGGACAGTACTGACCCACGTCCCCAACATGCCTGGAATTTAACCGGGGTCCTTAGTATGTGGGTCAAACACGCCACCACTTAGCTGCGACTCACTTCATTTTGCACACCATACATGTCTTGAGCAACTTTCCTAGCTCTGACGAGTAGCATCTATTATCACGGGAATACACTCTACATTGTAAATCTCTACTGCGAATTTCAAAATTCCTCTCTACTCCGTTTAACATTACTCAAGAAAAAACGAGAAAATTTGCCAAGACAATAATTACACATTTCGTTTGTACTCATTGTTGGTACATACATATGAAAGAACACAAATTTTGTGTAAGTTCCATACCAACCACCTACACTAATCTACCATCACATACCAACCACCTACACTAATCTACCATCACATAACAACCACCTACACTAATCTACCATCACATACCAACCACCTACACTAATCTACCATCACATACCAACCACCTACACTTATCTACCATCACATACCAACCACCCACACTAATCTACCATCACATAACAACCACCTACACTAATCTACCATCACATATCAACCACCCACACTAATCTATCATCACATAACAACCACCTACACTAATCTACCATCACATATCAACCAC